AACGGGGAATGGGAACGGAAGTGGGAACGGAAGTGGGAACGGAAGTGGGAACGCGAACGGCAATCATATAAAAATCATCATTTAAAAAACGAATAAGTTCTTTGTATGTTTGCATGGTGAAAAAAATATAATTTATACTCTGTCGCTGTAGTATTTTAACCTTAAAACCCAACTATGCTAAGTAAAACTCCCTAGTTAATACAGCTGTCTAGTTCTCCTCGAGGTCACGTTTTTCCCGCCGGAAGTGCTAACTCCCGGATGTTACACTCCTTTTTCTCTGGATTAAACCCAGAGTCCCTGCAACATAACATCTAAACTAATAATGTCAACACTATAACCTAACAGTTTATAATCCCTTAGCGTTTTATACTCTAATTTTAATGTAATTACTCACGAATAATAGTCCGGCGTCTGTCTATCTCTTTGCGGATATCGGGCTGCTGGAACTGCATTTTCTTCGCTAACCACTTGTTGGTCTGGAACGGGTTGCTGGTTGATATCTGGATCCATGACGTCATTTTCGTTTTCTTCGTGTGTTTCTCTATGGATCACCTGATCTTGATGGCGATGAACCTCGCGGTCGTCTTCCAACTGTATGGTATAGGAAACTGGCCCGGTTTGTGTATTGATCACTCCTGGACACCACTTTTGTTGTTTTCCATATTCTCTCGAATATACTAAATCACCTGGTCGTAATTGTCGATCCACTGCATGTTGATCGTGTAACTCTTTCTGCTTCTTCTGTTGGTTCTGTACTCTTTGTCTTACATCTGGATGTAGTACGTCCAAGCGAGATCTTGGTTTTCTGCTCATAAGCATTTCCGCTGGTGCTATCCCTGTGGTTGAGTGTGGCGTGATACGGTATTTGAAGAGAAACCGAGACACTCTGGTTTCCAAACTTTCCTTATTTGACATCTTCTTCATCCCTTCCTTAAACGTCTGGACCGCCCGTTCTGCAAGTCCATTGGAGGCTGGATGATAAGGAGCAGTCCTTCTGTGATGAATGCCGTTTTTCGCCAGAAATTCTTCGAATTCTTCACTGCAAAAATTACTACCGTTATCACTAACAATTGTTTTAGGAAGGCCGTGGATTGCAAACGTTGATCGAAGTTTTTCAATTGTTGCTCTCGATGTTGCCACATTCGTTGGATGCACTTCGAGCCATTTTGAGTACGCATCGACCATGATGAGGAACATTTTCCCCAAGAATGGACCAGCATAGTCAATATGAATTCTTTCCCATGGTCGGCTTGGCCATTCCCACGGGTGCAGTGGCGCTTCAGGAGGATTCTTTCTATTTATCTGGCAGTTGTTGCACGTTCGTACTTTGTTTTCCAAATCGTTATCCATGTTCGGCCACCACACGTAGCTTCTTGCTAGACTTTTCATCTTACATATTCCTGGGTGGGTTTCATGTAATTCGTCAACCACTTGCCTTCTTCCTTGGGGTGGAACAACCACTCTGTTTCCCCAAAGTATACAGTCGTCTTGAACACTCAGCTCGTCTCGTCGTTGAAAATATGGTTGAAACTCCCCATCTGGACACTTGCTAGGCCAACCTTGTTTAATAAATTTCAAAACTCTAGCAAGTATAGGAGTTCTCTTTGTCCAGTTCTTCACTTGCTCTGCTCTTATTGGAGTAGTCTCCAATAGTTCCATGAGTAAGATTGTTTCTTCAGGAACTGGTGTTGAACCTGGGGTGTCTGGCAATGGTAATCTACTGAGGGCATCAGCATTTGCATTCTGAATTCCTTCTTTGTACTGAATGGCGTAGTCATACGCAGACAAAATTAAGGCCCACCGCTGAATTCGAGCTGCAGCCATTGGTGGTGTCATTTTATCCGGATGAAGTACCCGCTCAAGCGGCTTGTGATCTGTCAGTATGGTGAAATGTCGACCATACACGTACTGGTGAAATTTCTTGACACCAAATACAATGGCTAGCGCCTCTTTGTCTAGTTGAGAATAGTTTTTTTCAGCTGCGGACAGTGATCTCGAGGCAAATGCAATTGGTTGTTCTGTGTTGTCTTCCATCCGGTGTGACAAAACAGCCCCCAAGCCATATGGTGAGGCATCGCAAGCCAGTATTAACTCCTTCTCCGGGTCATAATGCACCAATAGATGTGAGGACTTCAATAACTCTTTGGATTTTCTAAATGCCTCTTGGTGCTCTTCACTCCATTTCCAACTTTTCCCTTTTTCCAACAGGCTGTGCAGTGGTGCCAGAATCGTTGATAAATTTGGTAAATACTTTTGGTAATAGTTGATCATTCCCAAGTATGATCGAACTTCAGACACATTCGTTGGTGCCGGTGCATTGGTGATGGCTCTGACGTTTCTCTTGGACTGGTTGTATTCCTTGGCTATTTATCTTCTGGCCTAAATACACCACCTCGTTCACCATGAAGGCACACTTCTTCTTCTTTAGGCGTAACCCATGCTCTGACAACCGTTTTAGAACTTCTTCTAAATTTGCTAAATGTTCCTCATCATTCGAACCAGAGACCAAAATATCATCCACTCGCACAACCACGAAGGGAATCTCCTGCAGTAGGTTTTCCATAGTACGCTGGAAAATCCCAGCGATTTCTCTCCACCACTTAAAGTGGCAAAAAGATCTTCTGCCTTGGGAATCGGGTAATTGTCTAACTTTGCAGCTTGGTTGACAGTTACTTTATAATCCCCACAAATTCTTATCGACTTATCATCCTTAACGATTGGTACGATTGGCGCTGCCCAATCTGCAAACTGGACAGGCTCTATAGTTCCCTCTTCTTGCAATCTTTCTAACTCCTACTTTTTCCCTCAATGCATAGGGAACAGGTCTTGCCTTGTAATACTTTGGACTTGCATCCTCAGCCACATATATTTTGGCTTTGGGACCAGAAAATGTTCCTAACTCTTCATGAAACACTTTCTCATACTTCTCAAGTAACTTATTAGCTTTGGCTGAGGTATTCTTGTCCTCTTTTAACTGAAATAAATTCTTCCAATTTATTTTAATCTTTTGGAGCCAATTTCTGCCAATCAAGTTAGGGCCCTTCCCCGTTATGACTAGTAAAGGCCATACGCCTTCTTGATCTTCATACTTCACCGAAGTCTCCACCTGACCCAACACTTTAACTTGCTCTCCCGTATAGGTATTTAGTCTTACCTTTGACTCCTTCAGCTCTAGGTTTGGGTGTGTTTTCTTCAATAATGTATACGTATCCTCATTCATTATACTAACTGCAGCATCAGTATCTACTTCCATCTTTAGACTTTCATTGCTCACCAGTACATCAACAACATATGGCTCAGCTTGCCCTTTGCCCAGACTATAAATCCCATAGTTGTCGTCTTCCTCTTCGATCTCGTCATCCTTCATGTTTAAATAGTTGCTGCTAGTGCCTGAGTTAGGGTTGTCGTTTCGTTGATGTTTTCCAGTCGCCTTAGTGTTGCTTCGACATTTTCTTGCTATGTGTCCTTTCTTGTGGCACAGGAAACACTCAGCATCGCGAAATTTGCATTGTTGCGGGTCATGTTTACCCCCACACCGACCACATTCAGGCTTTGACCATGGTTGGTTTCCTTGTCCTTGGTTGTCCACACGGTGTAATGTTGCAGGTTTCTCAGTATTTATATTTGCATTGGCCATCTGATGTGTCAAATCTCGTGCATTCTTTACTGCAGTCTCCATTGATGTAGCTATTTTCATGGCTTTCTTAAAGTCGAGAGAACTTTCTGCTAACAATCTACGCTGAATCTGTTCGTCATTTATTCCACACACCAACCGATCACGTAACATCTCTTCTAAGGTACTCTTGAAATCACAATGTTCTGAAAGACTTCTTAATTCAGCTACATACGAAGCAATTGACTCACCAGGTTTCCTGAACCGAGTATTAAACTTGAATCGTTGCACTATTGCCGACGGTTTTGGGTGTTGATGTTGTTGTACAAGTTCTACTAGCTCTGCAAACGTCTTCTCTGACGGTTTATTCGGCGTGATTAGGTTCCGAATTAACTTATACGTCTTGCTACCACAAACACTCAATAATATCGCTCGTTGTTTATCTTCGTCGTCCACGCCATTTGCTTCGAAATAAAATTCCAACCGCTCAATATACTGACTCCATTCCTCTTGTGAGTCATATTCTTCTAGTTTTCCATGATTTGCCATTTTATCTCGTCGCCAAATGTAGTATTTTAACCTTAAAACCCAACTATGCTAAGTAAAACTCCCTAGTTAATACAGCTGTCTAGTTCTCTTCGAGGTCACGTTTTTCCCCGCCGGAAGTGCTAACTTTTGATATTTTCAGGTACAATTTGCGTAATAAAGTTATTATTTGTGTGAAATGATAACCATTTTTGTAAAATATACAGTCAATTTACATCCAATTTGTTTGCGAATTTGCTTTAGAAAACACCAGAATTGCAGTCCTTGAGCTTCAAAAATGGAACAATTTTTGGGGGAGGACCCCCAAATCCCCGTTTTCTCCCGAAACTAAGCATGACAGTGCAAGTCATTATCACAAGAAGCGTTCAAATTTCAGGTAAAATCCTCCGACAACCCCAACTTCAGATGCTTTGCTATGTTCCTGTGGACTGACGTGTACAATAGTCGAAAAACTAAAAAACATTTCCCGAAGGGATTTTTAAAATGGCCGAAAAAAGACAAATTTTGAGCCTTATCCTAAGCACGCTGTTGCCATGGTAACAGACTTTCAGCGCAAAAGTAGTAAATTGCAATGTTCAGGAGAGCATTGTCAATGTGTCCAATAAATTTCGTCTTTATGTCATGTAAAGTGAAGAAACAGGAGTTTTCTGGATACAAAAGTCTAGTATAATGCAAAAACCCTATGGAGTCACCTTAAAATGGTTTTTTATTATTATTTTATGACTTTTAATCACAGAAATCACTCGTGGTCATTCGTGGTCACTCGTGGTCATTCGTGGTCACTCGTGGTTACTCGTGGTCATTCGTGGTCACTCGTGTGTACTTTTAGACAAGATCATAATTCATAAATTTCCTGAATTAAAAGTTTAACGGAGCATCAATACCGCGCCTTGTCCAATTTGATTCACATTAAAGATGTATTTGCATCTTGCTATCGGTTATGGGAAGAGTTTAATACTCCAAAGTTCTAGCACCGAGAGTAGCACGACGACTTGGCAAAAGCCACAATTTTCTGGAGAAACCCATCTTAATAGTCATTTGCAAATTGAACTCTTTCATTGATTCTCACGTCCGTGAACTAAGAAAGCGTGGATGACTTCACTGTCAAACGAAGAAGACGAGAAAGCAATACTAGATGGAGAGTTTACATTCGTATTTTGTAATCCCGAGTCTATTATTCGAAATGCGAAATGTAGAGAAATGGTTTCATTTGAAATACACAAGACAAATTTGCTTGCTTTTGTATTAACAGACAAAGTTCACGTCGGCCCATAGAGGTGTGTTTAATAAATTTAAATACAGATTTTTTTTAATGTATATTGCAGGATTAAATTGAACGGTATATTGCAAGATTAAAGTGAATGAATATAAATATATATTTATATTAAATTGAATAGATGTCATGATGTTTTAAATTGAATGAAATTCAGGAGAATGAATATTGCTACAAATGGGCAGGCATGCACTGGACAGTATACATGCGATATTTTTAAATAAAACCCTATCCTATCTAGACGGCCTGGCGTCAAGGATAATGATTGGATAATATTTTTAGAATATGATGCATTAAGCCATTATACATTTTTTGCATTCTTTATCCGAACCAGGAATCGCTAACAAATTCACCAGAGGTTTTTCCTTTCTCTTCGCGCGTTTTCTCGCATTTCGCGTTCGCCAAACCTAAAAAAACCTCTGGGCCAGGGTATCCATTGTTGAGCGGGCAATATTATTCACTTGTACTTTGCATTTATCTAAATCCACGTTACCTCATTCAGTCAGTCACGTTCAGCACTAGCTTCTTAACAATAAATGTTATTGGATGTGATAAATCATGTACGTGCTATATTACTTCCCTAATATTGTATATTGTACAAATATCAAAAACAAAATATTTTGTTGAGACATATTGTAGTGTTAGGAAATTATATTTATAAAGATATATTGATTGAAGTGTTAGGAAATGGGAACGGCAGGAAATTAATGACAGCTTTAGCAGTCCTTTGAACTGATCGCAAAATGATCAACATTCACTGTCGACCGAAATAATATCGGAACATATTTGGAGGAAATGCATATCACACTAAAATATAAAATTTGATTATCGAATATTGCTTTTACTCAAGTACGATTTGAACAGACTATACTTCTGACACGAACGGAATTATATATAATCGTGTAAAAAATAACAGTCTGATCAATTTTATTTACATTCTGCCATGATATGGCTTATATTTATAACGAACTCGATATCTGCATAACAATCTCTTTTGTCTTTGATAACTTCCGACTTTTAGATCTTGAGTGGAACAGACAGGAACAGATCTTGCTAAATCCACCCTTTCGTCTCGAAACTCACATTAGTCTACAGAATTTGATTTTTTTTTTAATAAAGTACATAATTCCTGCCCCAGACGTTGTATGTGTTCTTGTATACCACAAAACAGCGTGTCGTGCGACAAGCTTGTTTGATCAAGTACGCAATACTTGTTTGTTGTGGGCAGATGTTTTTTTATTATTTTACTCACACTGCGCATGCTCGCTGCCACAAGTTATTATAATACAGCTTAGTGAATAGTGTGTAGCGCTTGCTTTGGAGAAGTGTTGCACTATGGAAAGCCAGGAGAACGCGAAACCTTTGCCTCCTACGAGTGTGGTTGACTTGAATGTTGGTGGTCAGCTATATACGACCACCCTGGGAACTTTAACAAAAGACCCCAGCAGTTTACTCACTACTATGTTCAGCGGAAGTCAACGAACGCCAAAAGATTCTCGAGGTCGCTATTTTATTGATAGAGACGGAGTTTTATTTCGATACGTCTTAGACTTTTTAAGAAATCTTCGCCTTACATTACCTGATGGTTTCAATGAGCTGGAGCGCTTGTTAGCTGAGGCTGAGTATTTCAAGGTCAGTGCGATGAAAGAAGCGCTCGCTAAAGAGACCAAAAGTCGCACGAGTGTGGAGAGAGCGAAGAAAAAAACCAGCGGGTATTTGTCTGTCTGCGTACGAGGGACATACGCGTTTGGACGTGACGGCGTTGCTGATGTTAAATTTCGTAAATTACAGCGAATTCTGGTGTGCGGTAATGTCGCATTGGCTCGTGATGTCTTTGGAGATTCATTAAACGAAACCCGAGATCCGGCCAGGGAGGAAATAAGATATACAAATCGATTTTATCTCAAATATAATCATCTAGAAAAAGCCTTTGATCAGCTTGCTGAAAAAGGATTCCAAATGGTGACAAGTTGTGCCGGAGGAGCAGGTTATGACGCAGAGAGCGAGGAGACAAAATGGAACCATTTCAATGATTATATTTTCTATAAAGAATGATACTTTCTATTACTTTATATTGATGTATAAATACATATATAGGAATATATCATAGCAACACTGCCAGACAACGTCGAACTGTACAAGCAGGTGGCAAAAAGACGAACGCTGATCAACAATGACAAATGTATTTATAAATATTAAAGCGATGACCGATGTATAATTTCTTAGTTATGAATTTGAAGTAATAAGACTTGATATATTGACTAGTGAAGGCTTTGAATAATTTTCGAGATGATTTAATATGACCAGCAACAAAGACTGAGTTTGTCTTCTCAAGTATATATGTTCCCTAAAAAACACATAAAGTGGACATTGTTTACAGTCATGCATAATTAATGTTCTAGTCGATAAAGAGCTTGCTGTAATTCACGTTCAATATTCGCTCTGTATAACTCTCATACTAATTATTATCTGACTTACTCTTCCACACACAGCCCGAAACTCGTATAAACCGCTCTATACATTAGTCAGTTAGAAGTGATTTTCGGCAAAGGAAGAAATTTAGATTTACATCTGTGTTTTAGTAAAGTAAATGTTTCTCGATCTGCATTAGGATCCAAACATTAAACGTGTTCATATTATAGATACCTGTACCGGAATTACTGGGACCATAATATAATATTGTACATAAGACATCTGTCTACATACTGACTAGTGGCACCTTTATACTTGGCGGAATATATCTCAGAACCAATAGCGAGTTTCAGTTTTCAATAACTCCGGCATTGATTTTCTTAACTCAAGTAAAGCGACGAATTTTATTTCTTCAGTCTTTGGGTGAAACACGTTACAGTCTTTGGGTGAAACACTTTACCCCTTAAGATTACCGTTTTTAGTCTTTAACATGCACTGAAACGAGTCCACCAGTAAACACAAATTCAATAGTTTCACCCCAGATAAAGATCCCTTTCAATCGCAAATCCTGCAGCTGCACCAGCATATATTAAGGGCCATTAAGAAACTAATTAAAAGCAAAAGAAGTAAGATAAAATTGAAGTTAAATTAAGATCATACCAACTAAAAATCGTAAATTTGGTATGTATACTTTTTTGCAAACTTTCTAATGGTAGTTTTATTTTTTTTTGTTAAAAGTGAACTTGAAATTTTGCATTTTTGTCCACAGTACAATTAACAGGCAAAATTTCTAAAATTGTCAAATTTTCAGCTACATTCCTATAAAGTCAAAAATCGGAGTTGCCAACATATGTAGTCTTGTTCATTAATGCACATATATAAGAAAATGCCAGTTGGCATGCAGCTTGTAACAGAACTGAATACCATCAAACAATGTTGCACATTTTCAGGTTTTGGTCGTCCGTCTATGGGCCAAAGTTACCTAACGCTCGCCTGCATATATAGTTACTTTAACGGGTCTAAAAAGGAAAACGCAATTGTCTTGCTAAAGTACATCCTGCATGCATGTTTCTTTTCCGCTACTTGAAACCGCAACCCGCGCTACTCCATCCGCGCCAGTATCCGCCCCGATTACAGGAAACATTCACATTTTTTAAAAATTTAAAAGAAACACATGCATGAAAATGATTAAATGAAATGTATGTTACTCATGCAGATCATTAGCTATAGTCATTATACGCCGAGCATTTATTCGCATTTATTATATTATATTGACTGTATAGTGCTTGATAGAGATTTCAAACTGCACTCATTAATAATTCATATAAAGCTTATTGGTAAATCATGTCAACCATAATATGTCACGTGCAATGGCTTTAAACGTGTAAAACACTCCTAATTAGTATTCTTTATGTAAAGAATACTAATAAGGCAGTATATAGTCGTGTCCTTACAGTATTTTTTATATAAAGAATACTATATAATAAGGCAGTATATCTATTGAATTTGTAGTCGTGTTTGAAGTGCATGCTCGTGGCTTTAAACCTAATATTAATAAAACACTACTGCTCGTTTATTAAACAGTACTTCGAGCACTGATAAAACTGATAATCTCACATGTGAGATTACTTATGATAATTTCACATGTGAAAATTATCGCTTTTCCAATTATCACTTTTCTGTAAAAATTATCGCTTTTCAAAGCAAAGACTGTCCTTTATATAAATATAATAAACAGAAAATACATGGATGCTTGGAAATACCAGATTTATTTCTCGAGTTGAACATGATATCTCACCGCTCGTTCACTGCATGCGCTCACTCTTGAGATATCATGCTCAATATTCGTAATAAATCTGGTATTTCTGCGCACCCATTGTATTATTCTCTATGTAAATCTTCATATTATTGCAATGATTCTATAAACGAAATATGTATTTTGATACTCGATGAAATTTCGACTCGATGAACTTGAAGCAATTTCATGTTGCTGATTCTGTAATCTATTGCATTTTGCGGTTTATGATCGGTGTAGCAGCTAGCCAGGGCCGAAAATATTTGAGTGGCTTGGATGAAAAGTAATAGTTATATAGCAAAAATTTAAAATGGGCCTTATCACTGCCACTGGCACTCCACCGTCCCCCCAGTTACGTCATACTCTTGTGATAAATGGTAAACATTTAAATAGAACAGAATATTAAATTGAAACTGGCGTCTTAACATTCACCTTATCATCTGCTGTGGACGCCGACGCCAGACTATGGCAAAAGCTCTTCTGCACTAAAGTTCAGGGGAGCTAAAAATTAATAGCCTACATTTCATTTAAATAATTGCACTTTAAGTAAATAATCTGGATTGCAGTATACTCTCCACATTATTTTAATTAAATTTGGAAAATTCACTGCAGCTCATTACTTATAATTTATATATAATTATGCTTAGCTTAACGTTTTGTTTATGATACTATTTGTCGTTTTCGTTTCGATCTACATTTCCATTGATATACATGCAATACATAATTAACATAACAGTATAAATGTTGCTAAAATGTTGCATATCAAATGAGCCTTCGCGCGTTCTGATTGGCTAGTTGACTAGTAAATCTGACGCATTATTTACCAGCAGACTAGCAGGGTTTATTTTAAGAAAAGTTTAGAACTGCACATATTAGGGATGTTACGAAGCATCACGTGTTTGACTGGGGGGTCAAAGAATGTTCGACTGGGGGTCAAAGGATTTTTGTCTACAGTATATTTAACGTTGTAAATTTATAGTTAACGTTTGTTAACGTTGCAAATTATGATAGACTCTTAATTTGTATCTAGGTGGCAGAATAAAGGTGTGGTTGGGTGGGTGGGGCCAGACAAACTCGATTCCGAGTGGGGAAGCTACAGGTAGGGAGTGTCCCCCAAATTTTGAATTTAGAGGCTCGTACGTTCTGGAAAAGATTTGTTTCACCCAACCACCCCCACTCTAATCTCTTTTGGATAGCTTCGCTCGCCCCAATTTTACCTCCTGTTTCATTACCCCAGCACGTAGGTGATTTGTGAAGAAAATATGAGGGTCTGGTGGCCCTCTCCCAGAAAACATTTAGATTTTTGATGCTCAATGACAGCACTTCTGGCATCTGGAGCATCCACAAGGAAAACAAGTAAATGAGAAGACTGTTTTGAGGTTATATTTTTGTTAATTTGATGACTGCACATTTAAGTTTTAAGAACTGCACAAATGGGTTTAGAACTGCACATTTTGTGTAGAATTGCACGTTAAAATAAACCCTGCAGACTAGTAAATAATGCTTTTCAAAAAGAATGATTCGGCAAATTTGATGTCAAAATCGACAAAATATGGAAAAAAAATACAAAAATCGTCCCCAGAAAACTAAAGAAGCACAAAATGTTGTATTTAACTTGAAAGGAAGGATTCCTTTATTATTTTACTGTGTCAAACATATTCACGGACAATTTAAAACTTTAAAACTATATTTCAGGAACCCCGTAACATTCACTTCAAACAAAGAGGAAAAACTATACCCGACTGTTGGGAAAAACCTCAACTTCAAATTGTCCAATCAGAAAGCTCAGTTTGTGGCAAGTGAGCATGAAATTAATCGCGATATCATGCCTTACATCATCAATTAGCGAGCCTACATTCCTTTTGACAATGTTCCACCCCATGTTTCCCGGGGAACATGGGACTGAACATTATTCGCGTAGACCACGCGAGACAACGCGCATGACAACAAGATGGCCCACAAGTTCCGTTAAAAATCTCAGCGTCGCGTGGTTACAAATGCTGTTTTTATTTGGACAATTTATGTTTTGTTGTTTATTCAAAGTCCTCGAACTCGCACACTACCTGAAAAGACCTTTCCCTAATTTCAGATATAAGCTATTATGCATTTTTGTCAGCTCCCTAATGATCTATGAAGTACCGAAAGTAGCTATATATGCATACTGCATAAAATATCCCGAAGGCGAAGAGAATACTGAATTGTTTTAAATTTAGTAGAATTTTCCCAACGAAATTTATCATTTCTAGTATTCTTATAGTATGATAATACGAGGCACGCTCTTTGAGTAGTTATCACAATAATGCTAGCTATATACAAATGACGTCACATAAGTGCATGACGTCAGGTTATTGCATCCTTCCCTTGCTTTGAATGGAGGTTCGTCGGGCATTGTCTATATGAAGCAACTTGAACTAATTAAAACCAATAATCTAAAATGAAGTATATATATTTAGTAATAAAACATAGTTAGTTTAAATATTGTTAGTGCTGACTATTCAATGTTTAAACGTTCTGCAGGTCTCCTATTTTCTCTTGAGGGATAACGCCTAATTTCCGCAGGATGGTCCGGTGTTGGAATGTTGATCTCCCCATCGTCAAAAGGGTCTGCTGCATGATCTTGTTGATGTGTGGTGATAGTATTTTTCTTGAACTGCGAGCTGTTTCTTGTTATGTAACTTGTTGCGTTTCATGCCGTTATCATAGTACCTTTGATCTTGACGATAGTGTATGGATGTTTGTTGTACGGTGAGGATAGTTTATTGACGCGTTTTTGACGAACGAGAACAGTGTCACCAACTTGAAAGCTGTGTGGTTTTGCTTTGGCTGCCGTATCAGCATACTCTTTCATCTTCCTTCTTTTTGAGATCGATATCGGCGAATTGGGGTCGTGATGGTGACGTGGGGACTACCTCAGGTAACTTGACGGTCAATTTTCGTCCAAAGAGGAGCTCTGCAGGGGAAACTCCTGTGGTGGAATGTGGCGTCGCACGGTAGTTTTGGAGGAAAAGAAACAGTTCTTGCTTCCAATTCTTGTTTTCGAGGTGGGCAGCGCGAAGTGTTTTCTGAATTGTTCGCATGAAACGTTCAGACTCAGAATTGGCTTTTGTCCACTCTGGAGTGACCTTTCGGTGGTGAAACCCCATGTATTGCGCGAACTGGGCGAAAGAGTGACTTTGAAATGGAGGTCCGTTGTCAGACTTGATTTCTGCAGGAATGCCATGCGTGGATAAAATGCGGTCATGTTTCGGGATGACGGTATTTGCAGAGGCGGAGCAAACAATCTCAACCTCGGGATAGAGCGAGTATTCGTCGATTACCACGAGAGCATATCGCCGGAGGGAAAAGGGCCACAGAAATCGACAGAGAGTTGTTGCCAAGGGGCCTGTCGTAACTCGGTCATGCGTAGGGGTTCAAATGGCTGTTGAACGACTGTTGCCTGACAGGCGAGACAAGTGTCAATTAGCTTTTTCGTAAGCTCATCGATTCCAGGAAACCAAATCTTTTCGCGGAGCAGCTGTTTGGTTTTGGTAAGGCCTTGATGATCTTCATGGGCGATGTAGAGAGCACGTTGACGAAGGGCATGTGGGAGGATGAGACGGTGAGAGCGAAGAAGGAGATCATGATCATCAGAAACACTCAGTTCGTCGCGGATATTGTAGAGAGCGTGGAGGTCCTGGGAGTTGACAAGGAGACAGGGTGTCTCAAAAGTTGAGTGCCAGGAGTTGTTACGGAGGGCTTCGATAACGGCTTGCAGAGTGGGGTCGGCACGGGTGGATTGTTTCACTTCAGAAACGGTCTTAGATTTTGGGGTGGTATGATCTGCTAAGAACGCGATATATTCTTCAGCCTGGTCGGATGCAGTGGAAGGGTGGGTTGTAGCTAGAGGGTGACGGGACAAATAATCAGCCGGGTTGGTTTTGCCAGGAGAATAGGAAATGGTGAAGTGATATGGTTGAAGTTTGAGGGCCCAGCGTTCTAATCAGGCATTGGAACGAGCAGCGGGATTGGTAAAAATGCGTTCAAGAGGTTTGTGATCTGTGATGATATTGAATTTCGCGCCGTATATATAATGATAAAAATGTTCACAAGCAAACAGTACACCGAGGGCTTCGCGTTCTGTTTGGGAATATCGTTGTTCTACGGGAGTGAGAGAACGACTTGCATAGGCAACAACATGGTTGTCTTGGTAAAGAATAGCACCAGGACCAGTGTTACAGGGCTGGCATCGACAATTATGGTTGGCTTCTTTGTGGGGGTTGAAGTACGAGAGAACGATGTCGCTGGTGAGAAGACGCTTCAGCTGATCAAAAGCATGTTGATGCTGGGATGTCCATGTCCAGGGCTGATCGGATTTGGTAAGCGTACGGAGGGGTTCGGTGATGGTGGAATAATTGGGGATAAATCGGGAACAGTAGTTGGTCAAACCGAGGAAACTGCGAACTTCATGAGCGGTGGTAGGGGGACTGGTATTGTTGATGGCAGAGACTTTCTTGGGGTCTGGGGAGAAACCATTTCTGGAGAATATATACCCAAAGAACTCGATGCTGGATTTGTTGAACTCGCACTTTTTGGCATTCAATGTAAGGTTCTTAGAGCGTAAACGTTCAAAAACGGCATGACGCGCTTTGTCATGTGCCGCTTGGTCTGTACCAAAAATGATGATGTCATCGCTAACATTACTAGCACCTTCGATACCACTGAGAACCTGTTTGATGGCATCTTGAAAGACTTCGGCGGCGGATGACGTACCAAAATTTAAGCGGGTGTAGCGGCGAAGTCCTCTGTGCATGGAAAACGTTGTGATATAGCGGCTTTCGGGTGCGAATTCGAGTTGATGGTAACCAGGGTTCGAATCAATTTTAGAGAAAACAGTGGCACCGTTTAGATCAAGAATTAGGTCATCAATAGTCGGTGTAATATGACGTTCACGGAGAATCGCACGATTGGGTTGGCGCATTTCAATACAGAGGCGAATCTCATCAGGGTTCTTTTGGTTTTGGTGTGACAACGAGAGGGGAGACCCAAGGAGTTGGGCCATCAACCGGTTCGATAATACCCTGGCGTTCAAGTGTGTCCAGTTCGGTATCGAGCTTTTTGCGAAGGTGGAACGGAATTCTCTGATGAGGTTGCGTCACGAGGGGTTCGGAGGGATCGATATGTAGATGAACTTGAAAATGCTTCATCTTGCCAATACCGTCAAAAAGGACTGAATATTCAGAACGTAATTGTGTGCTGCTAAGTGTGGAAAGCGGTGTGGTGGTGTTGACAGATGCGTTGGTTTGAGCGATGACAAAGATACCGTAAGTTCTAATTCAGTTGCAGTTTTGTAGCTCAAAAGTTAAAAGTCAACCATTTTCGTCCTTAATAACATAGATAGTACCGGGAGTTGTGCGTGTTTTCGATTCAACGCGAGTGTAGAATGTTCCAAGAACAGGTAAAGGTGAAGTACCGCCGTAACTGTAGATTTTCGTGGAGGTATAACGTAATGAAAGCTGATTATTCTGTGGAGATTTCGTGATGGCGTGATAAGCCTTTTCATCACTGATAACATTAATGCTGGCGCCGGAATCAATCAACACTCGAAGTGGTACATTTGCAATCATAACTTTGGCCTTCGGGGTGCTTAAATCACTGACTTGGGAAATAGTTACTGTGAAAAGGTACTCATCCTCAAAGATAGGGTATTGTTGAGTGTCGGGAACGTGGCGAATCTCTCGTGGAGGGGGTTGACGTGGAAAGGAGTTAGGAGGGGGTGGTTGAAAACGCGATTGATGACGGGGGGAACTACTTTCAGCAAACGATGGTCTGATAGGTTTAGATCGACAACAACGGGCAAAATGGTTCATTTTCCCGCACAAACGATACTGGGAACCGCGCGCAGGACAGCTGGCTTGACCTTGTGGATGGGGATAGGCATAACCGCAATGACCACACGTAGAGGATGGGCTTGGGAACTCTCGAGAACGTGGGAGTGGAGCAGAAGGCGATTGACGGGATTGAGATATACGAGTATAGTTTAAAAAGTTCAGTTTCATCAGGAGAGATGGATTTAGATTCAATGCTAGAGGCTTGTTTTTCAGATATTTCCATGGTGCGACCGAGATCAAGGAGTGCTTTGAGGGTTAAGGATGATTCACGAAGTGCGCGTCGACGAAGGTGAGACGAGGAGCAGTTGAGGATTATCTACGATTTGATTTCTTTCTCAACAGAAGTAAATTCGCAAGTTGATGCCAGTTGGCGCAGACGAGTGGTAAATTGATCGAGCGTCTCATTTGGTTGTTGGTGAGCTTGACGAAAAAGGTATGTTTCGTAATCAACGTTGCGTTGCGGCGTAAAATGCTCGATTAGGCGGTCCATCGCTTTCCTGTAGTCTTTCTCGTCACCGGTATCCGTTAAGGTCTCGAATATACCAAATGCTGACAAGCCAATATAGTGCAAAAGAAGTGCGCGTTTGCGTGTCTCATCGTTGATATCCATGACAAGAAGAAAATTTTCAAAACGTTTTTTTCATTTAGTCCAGCGTTGATCTGTCGCGGTGGGGTCGTCTTCAACATTGAACGGAGGAAGTGGTGGTTATCACAATAATAAATTTAATATCCATGGAATGCTAGCTATATACAAATGACGTCACATAAGTGCATGACGTCAGGTTATTACAGCATTTTAATGCCATAATGGAGTTTAATCTAGCAAATCATGAGCAGACAGAATAAATGGTTTCTTTGTATTTTGCTATAATGGTTTCAAAATATTATTTTTTGGTTATCAAAGTATATTCTAAACAAATGTGTAAAACGCAAATACGTAATCCAATGATTGGATAATAATAATAATTAATATTTATACAGGAATGCCTATTCAGTGAAAATTCACTGTGAGCAACTAGGGTCCTGTCGTTAGGTTAAAAAATGTTCTAAAAAAAAAGATACAGTATATATATATATATATATATATATATATATATATATATATATATATATATATATATATATATATATATATATATATATATATATACATATATATATATATATATATCCTAATAAGGGTATGTATAGAATATAAAATCTGTAAAAACCGTATACATGATTCAAATATTTAAGAAATATTTAAAAAAGCTTGCAGTCTCGCGTTAAAATCGTTCAAAGTCTCTGCTTTTCTTATGTCTAGAGGCAGTTCATTATATGTTTTTCCACCAAGGAAATAAAAGCCATTTTTGGCAGCATTGTACATTGTTGCAGCAGCTCTCGTTGTCATCGATTTTCGTATTTTCAATAGCAGTTTAAGTCTTCCATGTGACCTTTTATAAATCTTGTTGAAGGGTTCTGCCAAGTTTAAAGTTTGATCAAGGAGAACACCAAGGTAAGTATATGAAGTTGTGTAATTCACCAACGTATTGTTGTACATTATGTTCAACTCGTGTTCTTTAATCTTGGACAAGTTTCTCCCAGTGCCAAACAGCATACATTCAGTTTTGCCTTTTTTCAGGTTCACGATCAGTTCGTTCTTCTCAAACCACTCCGATAAATGTGACATGTCTTCAGTGAGCTTTTGTCCTATGGTTTTAACATCTTTGTGAGCATAATACAAAACGATGTCGTCAGCATACATTAGAATTTTGCAGTTCTTTACCGGGAGACAAACACCATTAAAGTGAATCAGGAATAGTAGGGGACCCAAAATAGAGCCCTGTGGGACTCCACAAAATACAGGGTTGACATTAGAGGTACACCCACCAAACGCAACACACTGAGTGCGACCAAGAAGATAAGGGACCAGTCATAAAGTATAGGGGGGGGAGGGGGGGCTGGAGAAATCAAATCTTCAACTGTATATTTTTCCTTGGCCCACCCCTGGAATAAGGCTTAATTATCAATGGCCCACCCTTAAAGTCATGCACAAAAATTAATGACACACCCTTTGCTAAAAGACAACAACAGGCGGGAAACTCATGGATCACTTTCTATTGGTGATATTTTTTACATGTTTCAAATTCAGTTTCATACATGATTTATTGCTTGGAAAACACCAAAACGTTACATACGACTCTTTTACAATAAAGTAGAATCCAACCCTACAGTGTGTAATCGTTAATTTAACCCTTACAGATCACTTATTATTGCCAAACGTCCCTATCCCTGTCATTTAAGCTCCCTTCACCATTTAGGATGCAATCACCTACAGTCATATGATCACACTACGATAGATAAAGGACTCCACCCTTACCATCACAAACCTTCAAACTCACTGTACTATTGAGTATGTTGAAATGCGTACATGGGTTGCCTTTCCTACCCATTTTCAATCTCTCGCCTTTTATATTATGTCCCACAAAATATTTCACCTTTTTTAGTTCCTATATATAATCGTAGTTTCCATAGTTTACATTTATTGACATATATGTTCACCACAGGATTCGGAGTACGAGGCCGTAGGAAGCTCGTTTTTATTGGGGGGGGGCTGAAAGCGAGGGCCGAAGGCCCGAGGAAATTTTTTAATTTAGAGTCTCTGAAATGCCATTTCCTGGACTTTGGGGAAGATGTGACAGAGTTCTGATGGTCAGAAAACAGCGTTTTAATATGTCAAAATTTACAATTTAGTAGTACTAAATGGGTGAAGGTGTATTTAATTAACTATATTTTGGATAAGTTTCAGGAAAGTGTGGGTAATATCTTCATTCTTTGCAGTTTTGCATGGATTAAATGATAAAGGTCTGCATGATTTTGAAAAAAGAATGATTATTAGCAAATTATTGGGGGGGGGGGCTGCAGCCCCCCGGTTGCTACGGCCCTGGAGTATATAACAACCATTTTGAATACTGGTCCTCTAATCAATTCCTTCATTAAAACTTACGAAAAAAGTTTAGTACACTGCGTTTATATATACATTAAAGTTTGTGTAATATGACTAAAAGTTTAGGTTGGTCATGCATTGTGTGAGCTTGAATAATCCTTAACAGTTAACCCATTGAGTAGCATTGTGCCATGATGCACCCCACTTTATTATTTTACTCTGTCTAACGCCAGATTATTTTACTCTGTCTAACGCCAGACTATTTTTCTCATCACGGGGAAAGTGCTGTCGCTTATGGGTTAATTAACAGCGTAAATTGAAACATATTCACACATGACCCACCCCTAATGTACTGCACAATTTTCTCTGGCCCACCCTTTTTTGCAAGCATGAAAATGGTGGCCCACCCCCTTTTTTCTCCAGCCCCCCCCCCCTATACTTTATGACTGGTCCCTAATTTGTAAACCATTCCTTCTCAACATCAGTTATACCATATTCAAAGAGTTTACATACTATAGAACTGTGACTAATAGTATCAAAAGCTTTGCGTAGGTCGACAAAAACTGCTCCACATAATTTTCCCAAGTCCATTTCCTTACGAATGTTATCCAAAAATAATGTTGCAGCAAGTTCCGTTGAGTGGTTTTTGCGGAAACCAAATTGTTGATTTGATAAAAGCTTATCAGTTTTGTTCCAAGTAAAATATTGTTTGGCTATACACACATTTCTCAAGGACCTTCGAAATTGTTGTTAATATAGTGATGGGTCTGTAGTTATCAATATCCGTTTGATTTCCAGATTTATAAATTGGGACAATTTTTCCACATTTGAATTCTGTTGGCACAATTCCTGTCGCTAATGATCTATTTATGATATGTGCTAGAGGCTTCGCTATATGTGTTGCTCCATCCTGAAGTAAGCAAGGTGGTATATCATCTAGCCCAGTTGCCTTTTTTCTATTGAGGCTCTTTAGATGTTTCACCACTGTTGGTACAGAAACATGGGCAAATTTGAAAACAGAGTTTGTATTATATTTATCAGGGACAGGTTGGGCCCAAACGGAGTATTTAAGAAGTGACAACTTTTCTTTCAAAATTCCAGCAGTGGTGAAAAAGTGATAAGAGAAACCATTTGCTATGACCTGTTTATCGAGTACCTTCTCCCCGTCTATTACCATCGATGAGCATGTATTCCCATTTTCATTTTTTGTAGGAAATAAATAGCTGTTTTATGCATTTCCAGAATTTTTCTGGGGATGAGGCATTTTCCTCAAAGAGTTCGTGATAGTAATTGTTTTTTGCAGATTTCAGTAAGTTATTTACTGAGTTTCGTTTCCTTTTATAGGCAGACCAATCGATTTCCGTGTCGGTTTTTCGTGGTTTTCTAAGTAGGCTGTCTCGGTAATTCCAATCTTTGACGAGTATTTTACAACGATTAGTCATGAAAAAGGGACTAGAAATAATCATGATGTTAAGACTACCACGCGTGAAGCTACCAAAGCGAGGTTCTTGCTTTGGTAATAGCCTGTCGAAGGGAACATGGCTGTGAAACTATAGAATAACAATATTTAACAATTATTCGCCGAAGGTGAGGTGATTATCGGTGAATAAAAACCGAGACGAAGTCGAGGTTTTTATTCACGATAATCACCGAGCCTGTGGTGAATAATTGTTTTAGTATAATTTCATAGGGGATTATTTGGGGAAAAAATAAAAACTATACATTTCTTCGTCATTTAATTGACAAACGGTTTCGACGCCATTTCGAAAATCGCTTAGGTGATTATCGCGTTATAATCACCTCAACGGCAACCAATCAGCGTGGAGAATTTTCAATAATCACCTATGTAATTATACTAAGCTGTTATATTCACCTACACTCTACAGGTGAATATAACAAAACTGAAATTTGCAAAATGGCAGATAGCCGTTTTGTACAAGTTACTGATAAACAAATAAGCGAAATTAAAATAAATCTAGTCCCAAAAGACACAAAAAACCTGTGTAAATTCGTCTCGGTGAATATTCCCTGATAATCACCTCGCCTTCGGCGAATAATTGTTAATTAATACGTCAAATTTGGCCAATCAATATGTAGGATTTGTTGTATTCACTTGTGCAAAAATACTAAAACTCATTATCTGTGTTTGTTCGTCAACGTTTATTCATAAATACGATCATTCACCGTCACGTTTGTATTGTATTTTTGCCCAACTAACCAATAGCAATGTTTCCAGCAGGGAAGTTACCTATCTGTGACTCGAACAATAGGGTAAATTGAAAATTGCTCTTGGTGGATTTGGCAAAAATACAATAGACACGTGACGGTGAATAGGACCGCGTATTTATGAATAAACGTTGTCGTTGACTAACATAGATAATGAGTTATATTGTTATTGTAATGAGTTTCATAGCCATCGTCCCTTTGATAGGCTATGCTTTGGTGGAGCAAAATTATATTATTGTCTGCCAGTACTCAGTAGATTTAAGAACTGTTCGGAATGCCAACAAATTTAAGAAACGTTTGAAAGATTTTTTTAACTTTTAGTTTAGATTTTTACTAGTTTTTACTAATTCACATGAGATTATTAAATATTTTGAGATGTAGGTTTTTACACAACTGAAACTTCGATCTTGTGTAAATATTCAGAAATAATAATATAAAAACAGATAAACTTAGTAATCAGATTTTCCATGCTACGACCAAGAAAACACGGCATGCTCAGATAATTTTCCCACCTGATATCAATCAGTAACTGATGTGCTAGGGATCGATTACATAAACCGGGCTAAGCTAAGCGCGACAGCTTCTAAATTGCGATTATATTTCGGGCTGAAAGGAACTCATTAATCCTCATTAAACTGCAAATTTTCAGCAGTTATATATATAACCGTTGTTATATTATTCAACTGCTAAGTGGTGATGCCGGCTGACGGATCGAAGATCTTGCAATGCAAAAAAAAATGCATGACAATAATGTTCATGTTTTTTGGAGTTTTTTTTCAAATGTTCATGTTTTTTTCATTTTTCTTAAAACGCATGACAATAATGTTCTGTTAAATCGCACCAGGCCCTTATTGAAGCGAAATAGACAAACAGAACGAGGGCCTGCAAGAAAACCCGGCTTTCGTGACTAAACGCCACTTAATTTTTGCACGTATAATGAGATTAGTTAACGACATTGACATTTTAATGACATACGCGAATACATTATTACAAGGAAATATATTACTTTCGTCCGGGTTTCCCAGCCGAGTTTTTATTGGTCACGTGATACACAGGCATGCACGTGTACAAATACCATTAATCCTACAATTGCAATTTTGCAAATCCTACAAAAGTGATATAGCTATAATGCTATATGACATTACAGTCGTGCCAATAGAAGCGTTCCGAAAAATGTTGACCAATTCATTTCCTAACTTGAAGGAACACCTCTGAACAATTCCTCAACAATTTGATAAGTTCCTTAAAAAGTTCCTAACTTCCTGTTTCATTGACCAATCAAATTTTACTTTTTATTTTTGAGCAATCTGATTGGTCAATGAGACAGGAAGTTTTTAAGAAACTTAATTATTAAATTGTTGAGGAATTGTTCAGAGGTGTTCCTTCAAGTTAGGATATGAATTGGTCAACATTTTTCGGAACGCCTGTAATTGTTGCACTTCATATTGTCTTCGTCTGCGCATTTTTTATCTAGTTAACAGTTTGATTTAATTTAATTAGCACTATAAAAGAAAGAGGTATAGTCCACAGTTAAACTAAGTGTTATGCAGTCTCTAGACTCTTCTCTTGGCCACGATGGTGAAATCTTTTGGTGGTAGGACAAGTTTTGGATCTGATGGTAGTAATGCTGGTTTTGCTTCTCCTTCTGGAACTTCAATCATGAAATGTTGCAACAAAGCCGACGCGAAAAGACACAACATAATTCTTGCCAAAGGTTGTCCTGGACAGTCTCGACGACCGAGTCCGAAGGGGATAAATCCATGCTTGGCTGACCAACCAACAAATGAACCGTCTTTTTTCAGAAATCGCTCGGGTTTGAAACTGTGTGGTTCAGGCCATTCTTTCTCGTCAAAATGGATATTATTGATATGAAGGGCAACATAGGTATCTTTAGGGATATGATATCCACCGATGACCGTGTCACGTGTGGCGTTTGTGCCATAGACGGGGAGAATACGTGATAGACGCAATACTTCACAGATACTAGCTTGTAAGTAAGGTAAGTTATCCACATCTTGCCAACGTGGTAGGCGATCTTTTCCAACCACTTTGTCAAGCTCTGCGTGGATTTTCTTCTGGACATCTTGGTGCAGCACTATATAAAGTATATACCATGCAAGGACTGACGAGGTCGTATCTGAGCCTGCATACACGATATCAACCATCAATCCTTGTATGTCTTCAATGGATCCAATTTCTTTTCCTTTTTCTTTTGCAATTTCCCTCTCGAATGCTGCGAGAAACCCATCAGTAAGATCACGAGTAACACCGGAGACGTAGGTCTCTTGGTGAGTTTTAAGTTCAGGGCCAAATATCTCATCTCTTATTCGCACGACTTCACTTAACTCACGGTTGAATGTGGTCGGAAGATGTGAAACACCAGGAATCAACTGAGCAGGGGTAAATTGAGTCCAAAGCTTGGATATTTTGTCGTTGAACTCTACCAACAATCTCACCTTGGGATGAAGCAACGACAATTTCTTTGATGTTACCCATTCCCAAATTTGACAAAGTATTGCCCGAGAAAGGAGATCCTTTGGTGAAAACGACTCTCCGTCTAATGCTTCGATTTCGTTCACGAAGTTCTTCACAGCGTGATTAACACGTTCTTCAGCTTGCTCTATCCCTACTCCGAACACCCGCAGTCCTAATGAAAGAATTTTCTTACGAAATACATGTCCCGGACCGTAGTCCGAACATATGACATCACGTTCTCCAAAGATAACATCACCCGGGTACATTGTACTTCGTATTTTTCCAGCAAGGTCATCTTTCCTTGTCAGACGAGCTTCTCTCGCCAGTTTTGCGTTGTTGATTAACACACAGCGCCTCAAAGGAAACGAAACGGACACGATTTCACCGTATTTCTCAACGATTTTCTTGAATGGGTTTATAGGGTCGGCTTCCATCTGTGGTAGATTACCGATCAAGGGCCATGGAAATGGACCCGGGGGCATTTTTCTTCTTTCAATGTAAGTGGTGAGAATATACCATACAAACCAAACAAAGAACAATGAAGCTGCAGACTCCAAATACATGATCTCGCTTTATTTCTGTTGACAAAAAAAAGACAAGTGTTGGATTCCACTTATTGATGCTAAGTGTACTAGTGTACATTTAAATAAAATAGTTTGCGCGTAAGTCAACACTGCATGACAGCACTTTACATTTGCACAATTATAAGTTAATATATACTGCATAGAGACTCATGAATTTATAATAAGAAAACCAGAAGACGTAAATTGCAGTAAAATGTAATATAAATATGTTTCCCATGCCAGTTGGTTGTTATGTACTTAGCCTTGGCATTTTGTATATACGTAACTGACAAGTATGAATTAATTTTCCACGCTCTCCGGCGGCATTACTAAACGGCACTAAAGAAAACAGCAGCAGGTGTCATGCATGCGCTTAGAAGATTAGAGCAAGGCTATTGGTAGGCCCGGACAGTAATAAGATACCGGCAAGTCAAAAATGTTCTAAATTAGTTGATAGCTATAACTACAAACTGAAAAGGTAAACGTTGGCAATGACAATGTGTATATTATATTTATCACATACTTGTACCTTTATCAGGTAGGAAGCAGCGGGACATAAAAACGATATCGTCCCGGATATCGTTTTTTGTCCCGGATATCGTTTTTTGTCCCGGATATCGTTTTTTGTCCCGCTAAATTTCGCACCTTGTCAAAACAAAGATGGCCGACTCGAGGTTCGTGTTGGTTGATGTCGACAGTTTATCGAAGAAAACAAGAACGATAATACAAAACGAAAGACTTAAATTGTATATTATTTATATGAATGGTCTATTTATTTTCTAAGATCATATTTGTTCAGTAAATGATGAATTTTTTTGAATTCTAAAATAATCCTATTTTTTCAAAACTGTTACCGTTTGGGTGTCAAACCCTGATAAAGGTACAAGTATATAATAAATAGGTTATCGTACTCGGGATTCGGTGATATCAGTTTTATCGCTCTCGGGACGATATCACAATTGTCCCTCGCTCGCTGCGCTCGCTCGTGACAATTGTGATATCATCCCTCGAGCGATAAAACTGATAACACCTCATCCCTTATATGATAACCTATATATATATATATATATATATATATATATATATATATATATATATATATATATATATATATATATATATATATATATATATATATATATATATATATATATATATATATATATATATATATATATAAGTATATATATATATATATATATATATATATATATATATATATATATATATATATATATATATATATATATATATATATATATATATATATATATATATATATATATTTAAAATAATCATTAAAAATTCATAAACCTTGTGGCAAATCATGTTAGCCATAATATGTCACGTGGAGTGACTTTATATCTGATAAAGTCATCTTCATTAGTATTCTTTATATAATTGTTCATCCTAATTAGTATGATTATATAATTGTTCATCCTAATTAGTATTCTTTTGTAGTCGTATTTTAAGCTATAAAAAACACTCCTTCTCGTGTTTTAAATACTATATATATATATATATATATATATATATATATATATATATATATATATATATATATATATATATATATATATATATATATACCAAATATGTATTTAGAATCATATACGAGTAGAGTGCTCGATATACCGAAGT